TTAAAAGAAATACCGGAATGTTTAACGATCGCCCTCTGAAAAGATTTTTAAAAATATGATTGTATTGTATATGATTGAAGTAACCAAAGCTGAAGAAATCGAATCAGGTAGATCTGATGACTCGTACAAACTCATGTAGCGCGCGCAAACTTCTCGTCCAAAGTGAAGAGGCCAACTGCACGGCATAGTATTCGAATTTGTTACTTGATAGAGAATTAAAGTACAGTATTATTTGCTGAATTGAATGTCCGTATCATAAGTGCGTAATTGTGAAAGAAAATGTTGCAAAGAATTGTAGATTTCTAAGACAAAAACATTAAATTTCACGAGATTACTCCGGTAAAATAAGGTTTATTATTTCCTAAGGGGTATCTGAAAGTTGTATATGGTTGGGTTTTCAAATTTAGGCATAAGTTGTTCAAGTGAAATATTCAGTAAATTAAATGTACAAGTTAATTTGTATACAGTTACTGGGAGACAAAAGTTGAGATTGAAAAAGTAAACATTTCGGTCCACCCCTAAAACTAAAATAAAATTATCTTAAATTTTCATTAGTTGGCATTTCATTTTTTTAACGTTATTTCATTTGCTCAGTATACACCCGTTAAAAGTAGATAATGTGATTTGAGGGTTTCATTCCAGACAATGGTCACTTAGAGGAACCGGAAGTCTGAAAAAAAAAAAAAATGTAACTGAGTACAATAACGGTAGGCGTTTTCATTCTAGAAGGAGAGCTATACTATTGTCCCAAATGGGCAGATTAGATATACTGACAATCCAATTCTGGCACGGACAAAATCTTGTAAAAAAAGATATTAAAAAATAAAACAAAACAGCTCGACGTAATTGGCTGGTTGTTATTTTTAGCGGTATATCAGCATCTTTAAGGGTTATTTAATGCCAAAATCTGAATATTTTGAATACAATTGTATGTCTTCAGCTACTGATAGAATGTATTGTAAGTTATTATACGACAAATAAGTATTGCTATTTTTTTATATAAAATATATTGCTGGCAATATTACTATAAAAATACATTTTCATAGCGTTTTCTTTGGAGGGTTACAATTTGTCCTTTGCTAGGACCATAAAAAATATTACCACCCCAGGTGAGGGTGGACCCGGGAACAGTAATTAAGAGGCGGTTCTATGCTCCTCAAAACATCCTTTCTCCAGATTAAATACCTTGCTGCCGGATGTAGTTTATCGTCATACCCAGGACTAAGCCCGACAAAGGAAAGAACAAAGCTTTAAAACAATTTCAGAATGAAACATTTTACGGACAATTTCTATAGAGAATGTTCTATATATTTATTTTATATATTTGAAGAATGTTCTATATATTTGTTAATGCTGTATTTCCCAGGTTAACCAGTTATTGTGGCTAATAGACAATCAGACGCACATAGAAGTGCGTGAAAGCTGTGGTACTGTATGGTTCTAAATATTTATTGTGGGGCTTGGAGCATATTTCCTGCGGATAAGCGTGGCGAGATTAGGTAAACTTTTGCGAATGATTTTACAGTAGAGGCAAACTTTCAGCTATCTTCAACATTAACAATTTTCTTGGGCATTATGTCTGAAATAGCTCAGGGACTGTTAAATGCAAAATAAAGGTCTTTAAGCTCGAGTCACAACATTTATATATATAAGAAATAATCACGCATAGAATCAATCAGTAATATTAATGCTATTATTGGCGATATCCATCGCTAGTAGTATATAATGTATGCATTAAAATACTGTTAATCGATAGAATGATGTGATCCTCATTTATAAAACTGTTGTCTGTTGTTTCCAGTTTATATATTTTTAAAAATGCAAGTACTTTCGAATAATCCTTTAGTCATCGTCAGGCATATTTTTTTCCTTATAAAATTACAACTTGGAAACGAAATAATTGTTTGTAGATCGAAAGATTTTTTTTTTTTTGAGAATGTCCTATTATTGACGGTTGTGTACAATATCGGAACGTGCAAAGACGCAACGCTAAGTTTTTCAAAATTTTAAGTGAGAATTTTATTTGAACTTTTCTTGTGATGTGGTAAATCCACGTATTCTATTTTTAGAAGTGTTTTCAGTTAATATGTCATGAACTAAGTATATAGTTCAATTAATATAGTGTTATGTCTTAGTAGTTTTTTTTATAGGAATTTTTTTGTACTGCGGATCGATAGTTTTTTTATAAACAAAAAATTAAGCAGCATATGATTTATACAAAGAAATAATCACGCATAGAATCAATTGATTCTATGCGTGATTATTTCTTTGTAAATTATATGCTGCCTAATGTGTGTGTGTTAAAAAATAAAAATTTAATAAAATGCCTATGGTTTCAGTAAAAAAAAAAAAAAAAGCAACTAAGCAAGATTTAAGACTCCCTTGTAAACTTAAATTGTAGGTACCATTTTCAGGATTTTAGGTCCTTAATAGTAAACGACAAAAACAGTATTCAAAGAAATTATATAAAAAAATCCTTAACTAATTAAAAACTATTTCCTTGAGCATCTTGTTTTCTGTTTAACAATCTTAATATGATTACAATGGATGCGCATGACAGTATCACAGAAGTGAAGTCATTACCGAGATTTCATACGGATTTTGAAGTCATTCTTATCTAAAAATGTAGAACTATTTCTTGGACGAACAACCAACGTTATCCGCGATCCTTCAGTTTGTTGAAAGATGTCAGAGTAAACGGTAAATTCTAACATTATTTTAGTCTTTTGAAATGGTTAGCATTAAGCCAATAATTAACTACCTGTATATGATTGAAGTAACCAAAGCTGAAGAAATCGAATCAGGCAGATCTGATGACTCGTGCAAATTCATGTAGCGCGCAAACTTCTCGTCCAAAGTGAAGAGGCCAACTGCACGGCATAGTATTCGAATTTGTTACTTGATAGAGAATTGAAGTACAGTATTATTTGCTGAATTGAATGTCCGTTTAAGTGTCGCACTAGAAATTATATATTTTTCACTGTAGATTAAGTGTTTAGTGCTCGGTAGCACCCGGCGACAAACATAGTAAAAATAGATATTTACCAGAGGAAAAAAAAAAGTACATGGTCTGAATTGAAGTTACACGGCTAGTAACTGTGGTAATAAAATGAGTACATGCCATGGTTTGGTTTGTTTTACGGCATATCAACCACAATTGGGTTATTTAATACCGATGATTTTTATTGCTGGTAATATTTTTTTTCCTTCAAAAACGTATAGCTGGTAATTTTTTTTTCCTTCAAAAATTCATCTCTGGTAATTTTTTTCTCCAAAAATGTATAGCTGTTAATAATTTTTTCAAAAATGTACTGCTGGCGATGATTTTAACAATTATTTCTGGTATTAACAACTATTTTTACACTTTCATAGTGTTTTGACTCCAGTTTAGGGGTTAGCTATTTATCCATAGCTGACAGATGCTACCACTGGGTGAACTTGGGAATACTAGCAATTAAGAGGTGGTTCCACGCTCCTCAAAACCTTATCAGAGGCCTTGCTGACGGATGTAGTTTATCGTCTTACCAGGACGCGGATGTATTTTATAGTCATATCCAGGACAGAAGCACATCCTATCTCTCCACTCTTTTGTAACTATCACAATAAAATAAACGTTTTTCAGTGCTAAAACTGAATTGATCAAATAAAGCTTCTACTTAGAGAAACTTTTACTAAGATTGTAAAATTTAACATTTGTTGCAACGAATGGAAAGATTCACTTTCGAATGCAAAGTTGATTGCGGTCCAATTTTTAGGAAGGAAAGAAGTCTGTTATCAAGGAACGACTTTGTTGCAATCTAGTTTTGAGAAAAACCAAACAGTGATTTTTTATTTAAGAAAGCCATGGGAATTGTTATAATAAGGAGTTCCAAACTGAAAGCAATGCGACTCGAACCCGAAACAAAAGTGAATCAGTTAAAGTGAAGGAAGTCGAAGCTCCCGAGATGTCGGAAGTTAACGGAATAAAACAATACCAATGAATATAAGCAGGGAGACGAATTGAATTTGACACAAAGTCGTGTTTATGGTGTGGGGGAGTGCACTACATAGAACTAGAAAAAAAAATTCATTTCTGGACAACTAAGCACTAAATATGAATCTTAATACCTTCAACAAGAAAAAAAAAAAAAGATACTGTTAAAGTTACTCTTCACTGCATAACCACTGGAAAAATGTTACAGACCCCACCCCTCCCAAAGTAAATTCAGAAGTAGTTATTTATTTGTACTGATGTACAAAATGTGGAACAAGGCGAAAAAAAAAAGGGGGGGTTGGGGAAGGACGGTCTTCCGTCTTAATTCTAAACTTAGCTAGTCACAGACACGGACCCAAACATACCAACAATATTCCTATCACCAAAACAACACATTCACTCCTACCTTTCTTACTGTGTCCACCACCTCAAATTCTCTATGAAATCCTAACTAGTCCCCTTATGTACAATTCAAAGTCTGTGGGGGATAGGGGAAAAAACAAAGTAAAAAACCCCAATGATTATTTACAATTTAATACTATTTACATAAAACAAAATAGGGTTCGTAATACCCCCCCAATCCCTAAATGCGTCAGAAACATCAGTTAACTGGACGAAATAATTGCGAGATTATAACATTATAAAAAAAACCAAGCACACCCACAAACACGCACTCATTTAGACACAATAACAAATACGAAAACACACACACAAAACGAAAGTCATCCCGCAACAATCAGAGAATTGACATCACTGACCACCTAACGAGGGAGTGGATGGGGAATTAAACAAAAGAAAAATAAGGACAGAAATAAAAGGGGGCCAATAATCTAATCCAGAAGAAGTGTTCAATATGAAACTCCTGACTGAATTATATAGGAATTGCAAAGGTTAATTATTCAAATTAAAACGTTTCTCACTAGACGAGGCCATTCCTCTTTTGTGGGTGGGTACAAGTTTGGATGTTAGATTTCTGTAAACAAATGGTCATGCCCTAAGTTTTGTTTTCCATTTAATCGAGGCGACTTATGGCCATATCACGTTGAAACACCGGTTTCGATACGAACACCGAAGTTAAACAACTTCGAGCTTGGGCAGTACTTAGACGGGTGACTACTTGGGAATATCAGGTGCTATAAGTTTGGAAGCGAGGGCGGTACAACGGATAATGGCTTAAAATTGTTATTCAGGGTGCTGAGGTTCAATTCTAGTTGGGTTCGTTATATTCACATACAGGCAAATATGCTTGAAACAGGTATGAATCCCCCTCTTCTCCCCCAGCTATAGGTTAATTAGTACGATTTGTATCACTAGAAATTGTTATTATCTAAAAAAAAAGAAATTCTTGCAATCCAAAAATTTTAAAAATATAAATAACCTGCAAAAGGTCGATAAACCGTAGAAAAGGAATCAATTAACAGCCGAAACCTCGCTGCTCTATCACTATTTTTATGGCATGCATCCTGATGAGCTACATTCCTTAGTACCCCTGACCTTTACAACTTTGTATTCTATTAGTAGAGATTTACTTGACCCCCACCCCCACCGTCAGGTTGTGACACAAGGTCAGTTTTTAATGGGGGGGGGGTCCGTGTGTTTTCACTCGGGCCGCTGGTCTTAGCTGGTGATAGTTTGTCCAAACTGGTCAGAGCTGGTCCAACCTAATCATAGCCGTGAAACTACAAACACAGAGACGGATCCCTGTGCCAAGTAAGAAAGAACTTTCCAAGAACTTCTGCTTTGTGGAACAGACTCCCGGCAGGATGCTTCCCCACTTTTTTTTTTATTGAATTAGTTTTGTAGGGAGACCACAGTTGTTTTCCCTTTGCATTAGCCCATGACAGTTGTGGCCCCTTTTAGTGAGTAGAACTCTTCTGCCTTTTTTTGTCTTCACTTCCGTTCTGGGAGGAACGACCTCTTTTCCTTCCTGGCCACCAGAGCGTCCACACACGTGGAAACTGGTCAACATGGGTACGGCCTAACGAAACAAATTCATTCACTCATCTGGGGACGACCAAAGGCCATGAAGTTGGTAGGTGATTTCTTTGTACTAATTCTGCTTAACCTCCTCGTTCCTTTGGGACAATATGGCCATTTATTTGTTTTGGGACATGTATAAATCTTGTGTATATATTTACGAAGCCTGCTTGCCACATTAAATGTTTCATTGGTTACGCTCGCGTATTTCGTCTTTTCATATTCGCATTCAGTGTTAGTGTATCAATGGCTACGCTAATGCTAATATTAGTATCGGTGTGCTACTGAAGGCTAGAACGCGTTATTCTACCTAACATAGAATAGTCAGTGACAAATACACACCTTATACTAATAGTTTGTTATAAAAACATGTACGACTTTTAAATAAAAGAAATTGTTGTGCAACATAACAATTCTGAGGAGAACATTTTGTTATATCAAACAACTGTTGTTGGCCTTGTGCCAGACTGTATACATTGCAATAAAAATATTAACGCAACATAGAGACTGAACTCACATTTGTTTGTCAGAAATCAGTGTCTCGATTTGCAGCTAGCAAAGCCCAGTATGTTGAATCTTTTATACATTTCCGTTTCATTGGGATCGTAAAAGTCGATATGTTTACTTTACTTTGTTTTCCAACCGTCATATTGTTTGGAGTAGATTGGCAGTCCAATACCCACCTTCGACTACCATACTCTTTGTAGCACAAAGGTTTAGTTTATTTATTTATTTATTTGTTTAGTTTATTTATTTATTTACTTATTGACCGGTTAAGCATGTATTTCCGAAGAAAGGCTTTAAATTGGTTGATCATATTTACCAAAGAACTCGTTTTGTTTCTTCTTTAATCGACAAATCGCCTTTGCTCTTATTACAATTCTCTTAAAGTCTATAATTTTTTAAGGTGTTATTTCCTTTCTACGATATTTCATGCATATTAGTGAAATACTTTATCGTCAACAATGCAGGCCGCCAAATTCCGGTAAGTGAAGTGCTTTATTACAGCGCTACCCTTTCATTGTTATCAGAATATACCGATATTTTAATCAAATCATCTAAAAAAGTTTCTGAAGAACTTCAGGAAATTTAAGAAAAACACGTTGGAAAGATCGATATTTTAATTAAATGTTTCTTTTTAAAAATGTCAAAAACAGAACATAATTAGTAACGGTTCATTGCTGTTACCTCTTGTGTGTCTGGGGATAAACGCAAGTTTTTATACAGAAAGGACTGGGACCTCGTGGTAGCTGGGTGCCCAAGAAAATTCTGTCGCTTGAACGATTTATATTTTTTGACGATTTTGAAATGGAAGATTTTTTTGAAAACTAAGAACTTTGGACAAATTCTGAGTTAAGAAACATTTCATATATACCAAGAATTTTTATATTCCGAATTTACACCAGCAACTTTTATATTCGAACTTCTTGGAGGCATTTCCAGTACAGTACTTTTCTGAGAATGGATTCATTGAGTCAAAAGATTCATTCAAGTCATCTTCAAAAGGGTTCATGCTTTTTTCTTCTGGGAACATCTGATATCCAGGAGCTGAAATTTACATATAATTGATAAAGGTTTATGAACATCAATGTGGCTACTTATTTCGTAGATTCTTCAAAGAGAGCGTCATATTTCATGAGAAACTGATTTGAAGTTTTTCAGTCCTTGAAGTTAGTATATATTGATGACAGCAATTCAAGTTTTAAACCCAGCTATAGATGTCAGAATTTTCACAAAGAATAAGATGTTATTGTTGCAGTTGTGTCTGACGAAGTTCGTTAATCCACTTCGCAAAATTAGTGTTTCCCGACATTCCATTACCGTATTTTATTGATAAGCATCGCTCGCTTAACTCGTCGCCAATTGTAGTGTACTATTCAAACATACTGAAACTTATAAAGATCACAAAACAGAACAAAATTAAGAGAACAGAAACGTATGCCCGTCCAACATGGTGACCGTTCGTCACTGCTCGTTTTATTCATAGGTACTACGAAAAGATGCTCGCTAGGGGTAAAGGGCAGATAACCCAACACGTTACGTCACTTTAGACAATGAGACACATATCCACATCTCGGTTCAATATATAATAGTTGCCACTTATACTAATTCGTTGGCCCCTTTTACGGGATCTTTCCTTTTCTAAAGGAAATCTAATGGGTGTCCCCGAATTTGCAAACATAGCAACCACTGATTCAACATCTACTCTCTTTTAAACGATTACGACTGAGTGATTTTGATTCTCACTGGGTGCCCCGTACTTTCGGCCTTGTATCCATGTTTAAAAAACTACCATTCAAATTTAGTATTTCAATGGAAATACTAAGTCCTACAATAGTCATCAGAAAATGCAAGTAAGTTTGCAGTTGAGATGAATCGAAAAATGTTCTTTTTTCACATTTAGATGCGAGACGGCCTCTGAAGGAACTGATTGAAAATTCACTTCTCTAAAATCGATAGGACATAAATAATCAGCATTTGACAATTAAATCTATTTGTAATTAACACGTTGAGATTTTTGTTTTCCTTCCTTTTTGCCATAGCTTTCCTGATTTCTAACGAAAATATTGATAAATATTGAAAACCTTGACTCGAGCTCTACCAGATGCAGCGATTCCACGTCGAACCGGACTGCTCGCCCGGTCCACAGACGGCGAAAGAGAGGCTTATGTCGCTTACAGAGATAAAGTAAAGACAAGCGGAAATGCGTAAGTGGAACACGCTTACGGTCTGCCCTTCACTGTACTTCTGACCAATTTTTCTCCAGCTGGAGGTCGGATCCAAACCACACCCCGAGAATGCGGACAGGACAGTCCTTCCTACCAAAGGACCCCGGTAGATCAACCTCCTTCCAGGAACCTAACCGCAAGCCGGAAGACATGTTGCGGTTAATCTTGGCCCTCGTGACCTTTTCGTACCGTTCAAGTGCCTTCTGTACCACCTCAATGTCGCTGCGACACGAAACGACACGACACAAAAATGGATACGTCATCGGCGTGCGTGGAAACCTTGTTTCGAACTCCACCAGTGACAGCGATTCCACGTCGGACCGGACTGCTCGCCCCGTCCCTCAGACGGCGAAGGAGAGGCTCCAACGCCAAAGCGTAAAGTAAGGGTGACAATGGACAACCCTGACGAACCGACAGCGCAAAAGCGCGCCACCGCTTCCCGCTCACATGTACCACATCACTAGAGGAGCAATACAAGAGGCTAATCCACTTACAGAAATCTGGTTGGAATCCAGCAGCCTGCAGGACAACAGCCAGGTACTGATGATCGACCCTATCAAATGCCTTGGACTGATCCAAATTGATCAGCGCGGCCTCATCGTTGTCTTTTAGACCTTCTAGGATCGTGCGGATCAGATGCAGGTTGCTCTGAATTGTTCGGCCCCTCACAGCACAAGTCTAATTGGATCCCATCAGACTCTGAGCAACTGACTGAAAACGCTCAGTCAAGATCTTGGCGAAAATCTTTAACTCTGTATTTAGCAGAGTTATGGGCCTGTAATCATCTAATTCCCGCCTTCCATCCTTGCCCTTTTTCAACAGCATAATCACGCCCACTGTTGATTACTGGGGATGAACCCCCTGCCGAAACCAGTTGTTTAACACGACAGTCAAAATCGACACAAATATGCGACAGCCTCAAGTACAATTCATAGGGTAAACCATCAAGTCCCAGAGACTTGCCACTGCCGACCCTCTTCAATGCCAAGTATACTTCGCCCTCCGTGATCTCACACTCGCAGCTAACCGTTCAGTCGGTGCAGACCGAGGCAAGTCAGCCAAATAGCTGCGACACTCATCGTCACCGAGACCAGGCTACTTGAAATGCCACCGAGACTCCTCGCACATATCGTCAGTCTACCTCAGAATACGCCCCTCTGGGGTTTTGACCTCACGAATGTAACGATCGGAACCTCGACGGATCTCTTCCTTGCGCAATTGTGCGCCTATGTTCACGGATTTGTTAGACATCTTGTTTAACCTAGGCCTAACTATCTGACCCTTGTAGCGTTCTCTAGTCAATCGCTCAAGAGCCTGTCTAGCTAAACTTATCTCTAGGGGATCCCCGCCAGCCTCCGCCCGGGACAGATAATCTTTAAGTGTCTCCACCTTATTAGCCTTATCTAGTGCGAGCCTCTGACAATATTCGGT